AAAGCTATAAAGCTAGCATTCGGAACGTCGGTGGTTCTCCTCAAGAGACATACAGACCTGAAATAATGCGCGTATGGGGGACCCCTGAGAACTTCCTTCACCAGTTAATCTGGAAAGTAGCCATATGACATATACTTTGTGCGACGTAACCTTTCCCCCTTCCACCCCCCCCCAAAAAAAAAATAGAGAGAGAGACAGGCATTATCTTTAGAATGAGCCGCACCACGACAAAATCACAATAGTTCGTTTTCGACCAGCATGGATCCAGACCAGCCTGCGTTTCCGCGCAGTCTGATCAGGGTCCATGATGTTCGCTATCAGTTTCTCTACTTGTAAAAAGGTTTGTAAGCGAAAAGCATGGGCCCTGATCCCTGGATCCAATCTGGTCGCATTCGCACTATTGTGGTTTTGTCATTGTGCAGCTCCTATTATATTATTTATTGTTGACTCGGTGAATTTTGATATGTTTCAGATGGCAAACGTTTGCTGGTGGTACTTCTTTTCTAAAATCATAGAGCTCGTTGACACATGTAGCGCCGATATATGTCCAAACGTCGAAAAATGTCCAAACGACGATAAATGTCCAAAAATTGACGATAAATGTCTCAATCGCCGATAAATGTCCAAAACTCCTTTAACGATAAATGTCCAAAAATTAACGAAAAATGTCGCAACAAATAAGGTGCTCATAAATGTCCAAATCGGTTAACGATAAATGTCTCAACTTTTCATATGTTAATTGCACTTATTTCTATGATCAACAGTTATGCATCAGCCAGTTATAAAGGTTTCCATAGGGATTAAAAGTACCGATTTAAGTAGCGTTCTCACCAGCATCCCGGCAAAGCCCAGGACCACCCCAGACGATCCGGGATGAAAATATTGTTGCAGTCTCAATAACCCCGGTAGCACTACGGCGATACCCAATGTCCATACTTATAACAACCAGGATGAACTCCGGGCCATCCATGCAGAGTCCAGTTGAAACTACGGATAATGCAGATAGTAAGTGGACGACGGATGACCTAACTCGATATTCAAACGCTGTTAAGTCTTCGATCAAAGAGATCATAAAAGCTGAGATCCATGCTAGCACAGCCCCAATTGATGTCGGCAGTGTCCCGGATGATCCCGACAGAGCCCCGGTACGGTCAGATAGAGTGCCGACAATCACCGGTAGAGCCCCGGCAGATCCCTTGATCACCCCGGACGTTGCCGAAAGTGTTACGGACGTATCCCGGTTGTTCCTGGATCAACCGACCGACCACCGGAACTCTAGCGGGATGCTTGTGAGATTGTTAAAAAAGTTTAAAAAATGTGTTTGAAAATAAGTTGATTGTTGGATACAGTCTATCTCCCTTACTATTAAAAGGGAAACAAATAAGTTAAACCGAGATGCATTGTACAAGTGCTTTACACCGGGCACTTAAAAGAACCAGGGTGGCCTCTGAAACGGGGCGTCTTCTGTATCATGCACTATCCCCGAAAAATAATATACTAACAATCTTCAGGGGACGTTGGTCATATGGGCAACCGGTACCAACGATAAAAAAGTCAAATAAAATAAGTTATTATGCCCCCCTTCGAAGATGTGGGGGTATATTGCTTTGCCCATGTCGGTCGGTCGGTCCGTCGGTCCGTAGACCATGCCATTTCTGCTCAATAACTAGACAATGCTTTGGCTGATGTTCCTAATATTTGGTGTGGAGGTTGGTCATGACTAGTAGATGACCCCTATTGATTTTGGGGTCAGTAGGTCAAAGGTAAAGGTCACAGTGACCTCACCATGAAAAGCTTGTTTTTAGAAGATATTGTGTGTGTAACATTGTCTCATTGACAACTACAGGGTTTAACTCAATTCATGGACCCATGTGTCATATTGGTTCTGCCCCATGGCAATGATATACATGTATTCCATAACAAATTTACTATGCATTTTTATACACACCTAAAAATCTAATGTTATAATATTAAATTGGCTGTGTTTAGGGGGCATACATGTTTTACAAACATATCTTGTTAACATCTGCATTGCGCTACTCTACACTTATAGCTATATTCAGTGTCGTCACTCGAACTCAACCTCCACTCAAACTCGGGAAAGGCTTCCTTAAGGACGAATTGAGGACGCCTTGGTCAAGGTTAACTCAAGTGTAGAATTGGTATTCATATTTGAAAGTCTTCCTCGACTTACCCGAGGAAGGTTTGAGTAGCAAATCACCCGTAAAATCACTGTTATAGGTGATCTGTTCATTACATAATTCATTATGTATATCAATATTGATTTGAAAGTATCATAAATATGAGTTTGGTACAGACATCATTTGTACATGTACTTTTGAAAATGATTTGCGGAATAAAACGTTGACTAATGAGCAAGTGGTCTGTGTACAATAATAATTCATCTATATTTAAATTATATTCTTGCTTCTACCATCAAATTGCTGAAGTCTATCGACAGAATTAATTTATTCTACGTTTTTTGAAAATGTATTAATCAGGTTTTCAGTTATTTTCACGACTTAAGCGCAGTTTGATTAATAGTGAACACTAATATAACTTGAAAATGTGAAACATTTTGTATGCTTATTTCTACCATATTCATTTATTCAGTTGGACTGACTGCCTTATATTCATGCGATAAAATGAAAATTATAAAAAATCTCTTATGCCTCTAAGCACCGGTTTAGATAGTTTACAGTCTGTTACACTAAAATGATATGGATTGAAGATCCATCATTGGCACAAACAAAATTACATAATATAGCTTTCAACCATATGCATGGAAATAATTATAAAGACAGTAATATTTACTATCTTAAACCTCTATAAACATGACATTTTGTACAAATGCCGATCATTATAAAAGACGATACATAGCCTAGCAAGAAGGGGCACAAAAGTGTCACCATAATAGTATGAAACAACAAAGACATACATCTAAGGAACATAAAACCTGTTCTGAGTTTTCCAGACCGCTGATTTTCGTTCTATAATTTTATGATTGAATAATCTATCGCCCACTTGGCATGTTAGTATCTATCGGCTCTGTTCTCGTCGACGTTTCTAATTTCTATAGAACTTACATATTATTGATTTATTATTGATTATTTAATTGTTTACGCGTTTAACTTTGAATTTGTCAAACTATACATATAAACCTTCCTGTTTTGTACGGCAAGAGGATAAATGAGAAAAAAAATGAATTTAAATTTGCCAACATAAAAGGAATGAAAACGTTTTCCTCAAATCGATATCACTGTGTTTTTTTCCAATGAAGACTATATATAAAACTTATCTTTATTACTGATCCAAAAACTGTTTAAAATATGAATTTTACCATTCCCAAATGTTTCAAAATAGTTTATTTATTAATTGATTAATTAATTAATTAATTTATTTTTTATTTACTCTTAAAATACATCAAGTAGAGACTTTACGACAATACACCGATATACGTATTTAAGGTTATATATCTATAGACGTAGAGCAAAATGATCAGACATCAAACAAAAGATCAGATTACTTATACGTTAGTCTTACGTTGTTTATTGCACAGTCAATATGAATTGACATGTAATGTATGTTAACTTATTTAGTTTAGATAGGAAGATCTTATTTCCATTGCAAATTTTGTGACACAACCGTCGTTATTATCATTATTATTATTTAGTTTTTTCATTATTATTATTATTATTATTATTATTATTATTATTATTATTATTATCTTCTACTCTTTTTATTTCAAAAGCATAATTAATCAAAGGTTAATTTAGATCAATATTGAAATGTAAAACATGTACCTATCATATAAAGACGAAACTCAATTATGGAAAGGAATATAAGTGTTATGCTTGTTTCCAATCCATGTATATTGTGATGTAAAATGACAATTGCTCGTACATTTGCTAAATGAAATGTTCACGTTTCAGCAGAAATGATTTAATATTTTTGAAAATTGACTGTTATAATAGTGACTGACCAACAGTTTACATTAAACAATTTAGGATACCCTAAAATCTAAAAGACACTCGGGCGGACAATGGCAACGCTATATGGGGCACAAAAATATTGAAGAACACAAACAATGCTAAAACGTATTGCTTCGGTGAGTTAAGAAGGCACATGCCCCCGCGCCCCATCCGGATCTGCAACTGAAATGTATAATGCACAATAATGTATGATACATTTTACGTCGGGGGTAAACGAGGGGGTAAAATCACGGGTTAGTTGGATAGACTGTTACAGTATTCAATACAATAAATTACAAATTAACATATGAAAAGTTGAGACATTTATCGTTAACCGATTTGGACATTTATGAGCACCTAATTTGTTGCGACATTTTTCGTTAATTTTGGGACATTTATCGTTAAAGGAGTTTTGGACATTTATCGGCGATTGAGACATTTATCGTCAATTTTTGGACATTTATCGTCGTTTGGACATTTTTCGACGTTTGGACATATATCGGCGCTACAACACAGTAAGTATCTGTAGTGTAGTTTCTAGAAACATATCAAATTTGGTCAGAAATAATATAAAGAAAAGAAATTATTTCAACATCGCGTCAAAAAACAGCTAATTATAAGAGGTCTATTTGTAATTCTTAGTCCCATGACTTTATTTTAATGGCTTAAGTGCATGTTAGATGTTTACATGCAGTTATGAGTCATAAAGGTAACAAAATGAGAAATAAAAATGATAGCATTTGTGAAGCATATGCATTCATTAACTTTTTTTCATCGTATTGTCATTGATAAGACATCGCGTTATAAAGATAAAAAAGATGTTCTAAATCAATGCAGTTTAAAAAAAGGTTTCAGCTCTTTTTTTACTATTTTTTACACGTGAAACCAGTTCTTATTCATACACCACTTTGTTACCGTTATTGTTATTATCATTTATTATTATTATTATTATTTATTATTATTATTATTATTATTATTATTATCATTGTTTATGTTCTTATTTTATTCTCCTTTTTTCTTTTACCTTCAAAAAAGATCAGTGTCATTCCTGCATGCGTATCATCATAGCACGATGATTGTGAACTGGTGGCTAGGCGTTAAATATATAGCAGGCGGTCAGTGTAAGTATTTTCATAAAAGCTAAGTTAGCATAGCGGTTCTATTTCTTTATTTGCCCCAAACCCACAACTCCCCTACGAGACACGCCATGTTTTCGTCGGGCTACCTATATATAGAATTGAAATACTATCTTCATTGGACTGTGAATCGGGCGACCCGGGTTCGATTCCCGGACGGCGCAGATCACTTTCGTTGTGATTGATCATGAAATCCTTTCTACGGTCATTCGCACTGTAGCTCTGCTCTGGTATGTACAGAAGTTTCAGCGAAAGTGAAGGCAACTACTACTGGTAAACTGCTTGACTGCATGCACAGAAATGATGCTGTGGTTGAACTGTGCTCTGATGAATTCAATGTGACTTACTGTCGCGATCCGTAGTGAAAACTACCAACACCACCACCCACTTTTCATTGAAATCAATGTGTAGTGTGCTGCCAACAGTTATGCACCAGTCAAGTGGTATATATATATATAACTTTGTATTGTGTAACAGACAAGTTTATCATTTCCAAAAATGTTAGGAATTGCCGTGACATAGACCCCTTCCTATTATATAATTACAATAGAGCAACAGTACTTTTTTCTTATAGGAGGAATGTTTCCTATATTGTTTATGCCGTCGAAGCGTACACGCTGATTATGACGATAGTTACATGTAACCGACGAAAAACATGGCTGGTGGCGTGCCCCGTAGGCACCCCTTTTGTCATCCATTTTGTTATCACGTGGTATTTGTCTCCATTTTGACTGGCTCAGCGCAGAAGGTGTACGGGTTGTATATTTCGCCGCCGTCCATGAACAGCGGATATAAATTCATCGCAGGTGTGGCATGATTATGCTGTTTCAGAAAAACATACTAGTAGATAATTATGACAGTGTCCCTGGAATTAGGCAATCTTAATTAATTCCATACGAGCGGATAGGAAGATTTATGACACCGTTTCCGTGATATTATCTTATTAGTAATCATAATATTATGATCTTAATTACAATGTATATAACGAATGTGTAGCGAATCCTATTTTGGGTATTAAACTTATTAATTAAATACTCTAATAACGTAATAAATCATGGCACCAAATCAAATTAATTAGGAAAGGGAAGGGCCGAAAAGTTCGGATTGAAGTCAATCGCAACTTTTCGGCCCTTTCGTTCAATCTTCGGATAAGGTTATTATGGATGTTCCGATTTGGTTGAGATTAATGGACTTGTTTACATTTTACAGCCTGGTTCCTTGCGATGTTGAATACATTTGTGCACGTGATCATGTATTCTTATTATGGATTGTCTGCCCTTGGTCCTTCAGTTCAAAAATATCTCTGGTGGAAAAAGTACCTCACTATGCTCCAACTGGTTTGTATTTTAATTGCTTCGTTCTAAACGCAAAAGAAAACAACAAACGGATAAAACAACACATTTTATTGACTTTTATTTCCATGTATAAACACTGCTTAATACTTTCTTCTGTGTGTTAACATTTTTACGTTTTTGACAGATTATTGTATGACAGATTAAGCAATGCTAAATATCTTTCTTCTTATTTCTGTATGAAATTTTACATGTTTTTTATTTCACCATTCAACATTTTTTCATCAAAAGATAGAACATCTGTCTCCAATTCTAGTCGACATATATTCAAAGAAAAAGAAATTACAATAGTTTAGTATTTTTAGAAAACAACAACAATAAAACAACAGAAACAACAATATCAACAACAGCAGTAAAACAACAACAACAAAACAGCAAAAAACAACAACAATATAACAAGAATAACATGCAACAACAACATCAACAACAACAACAATACAACATCAAAACAATAGACGCTGTTATTAGTAAAATGAGCAACATTTGCTGTGTTTGTTTACACAGCTTCGAATATTTGTTTTACTTTACAGTTATTTGTTATACTTTACCGTAATTTATTTTACTTTACAGTAATTTATTTTACTTTACAGTAATCTATTTTACTTTACATTATTTTGTTTTACTTTACAGTTATTTGTTATACTTTACAGTAATCTATTTTACTTTACAGTAATTTGTTTTACTTTACAGTAATCTATTTTACTTTACCGTAATTTATTTTACTTTACAGTAATTTGTTTTACTTTACAGTAATCTATTTTACTTTACAGTAATTTGTTTTACTTAACAGTAATTTGTTATACTGTACAGTAATTTGTTTTACTTTACAGTGATTTGTTTTACTTTACAGTAATTTGTTTTACTTTACAGTAAACAAGAGTAAACTATGGTCATTTGCTCATTTAGCCTAAAAACTAAAATTAAGTTTCATGTTATCAAAAATAAGTGACTATATTTAATATATACATTACATATTAACACGTGAAAGATATACTATGCTCTAATTTGATATTTGAAAATATTGGTAATTGCTACATAGTTTTTTTTGTAAATATTGAATTGAAATGTTTTGACTTCACACAAAGTTGTGTTTAAAACCCTACACACTATAAGTTTTGTTTGTTAGTTTTGGGTTTTACGTCACATCGACACAGTATAGGTGGAGGAAGACCTCAGATGCCCTTCCGTGCATTATTTCAGGCACAAACGGGCACCTGAGTAGAACCACCGACGTTCCGTAAGCTAGCTGGATAGAGACACTATAAGTGGTCACATTATGAATACATGTATATAGTGTCATTAAAAAAACTGGCAGTTTTTTTAAGAAAAGACCAACTTTACTTGAACTGTAATAGGAAACGCAGCTTCCTATACAAAGTTTTTTCCTTTTATTTAAATTAGACGTATTCAGTAAGAATTTAATGGATTTCAATAAATTTCTGTGATTAAGATATTTTACTCAAGGGTGAACATAGTATATCTTTAATTAAGTTTATTCAATTATTGGCTGATTCGAAGAATAGAATGTGCTATTGCAAATAATAATGCTAACAATGATATTGACAACAACAAGAAAAACGACAACAACAATAACCATATAAACTGAGAGGAGGAAATAAATCAACTCATGATTCTTTTACTTTATTTTCAGAGCCAGTTCTTTGCTGTTGTGATACATACGGGTGTTAATATGACGCAAACAGACTGTGATTTCCCTCAAGGAATTAATTACGCCGTATTTTAATATGCCATATCTCTAATTATACTCTTCGCCAACTTTTTTCAAAAATCATATTGCAACAATAAAGAAAAGAGCCGATAACACTTCAGGCTGGATTTGGTGAAGCATCGTGTACCAGTCCATTTTAACGCCGCCTTTAACCCAACCCATCAGCCAGTGCGGGGGGGGGGGAGAGAAATGAGATGAGTTTTATCGACTCAATTCGGTTATCGTGGTAATGTTATTGCACCAAAAAAAGGCGGAGATATGGCCATCTGGTAAAACTGGAAGGATTTTACCTTATGACTGTCTCAGCAGGACATTTACAAGGGTTTAAAAATACAAAAGTAAATATCCCCGCCCTTCCACCGAGGCTGGGGACTTGATTATAAATGGCTGTCAATATGAGTGATGTCTGTTTTAGTTTGGCAAGATTGTAAATGTGGTTCATTAACGCTGTTTATAAGTTTAAAAAAAGATATTTTAAAGAAAGAGAAAAAAATTCAGTTTATATGGAACAACAGCGTTGTTATTTGAGTATATTTATGCATGTTCTTTTTGACATTTTGATCAGTTCAATTTTTTAAACTAAAGTTGTATTTATTTGTTTAATGATGCTTCAATTATTTAAATTCTCGTATAATTAAAAATAGATTTCTCTCTTGTTTTTTTACTTCCTTGTCATTTTTCGTTCTTGAAATTTTACGGTTAGAGCCTGTATCAGCTACTAAGTTCTTTTATGTCCAGTAACACACTGCATTTTACGCTAGTCTGAGACTTCATAAAAAATAAACACCAATTATAAATAAACATAATGAAAATCAAATTTTATAATAAATGAATTGAAATTAAGTTTCAAGAAATATCGACACTTAAAAGGTAACTTCTCGTGCATTATTTCAGTCTCGAGGGCATAACCATTGACCTCCCTATTCCTCACAGTCAAGAGTAATCCGAGGGCGATTCGAATCCACAGCAGTGTAGGTAAAGTCATTGTAAGTCAGCTTGCTTAATCACTCAATCCGTAAATATATATTCTTGCATAGCAGACTGGCGTTTCCGTCAGTTTTACCCATGCCAGAAATTTCATCTGGCATGGGGGGTGCCAGATGATTCGCGTGCCAAACAAAAACGTCATTTTAGCGCACTTTATTAATGAACCGCGGTAAAATGACGTCGTTTTAGAAGGGAAATATGTGCTTAGGATGACGTCATTTCGCCGTTGTTATCAAAGTTGTAAGTTCATACGCTATTGTAAGAAAATAGTTATGGATGAAATGACTTTAATTTCCATGAACATATATCATATTGAGGTAAACCATTTTAAATATGAAATAATATGGCAGAATATGCAAGAAAAAATATCTTTCATATGTTTGCGGTTCGGACCTGAATATCCGTCCCTCGGGAACCCGCCCATGGGCGGTAACTCGGCAAGCCTCGTTACCGCCCAATGGGCGGGTCACCTCGGGACGGATATTCCGGTCCGAACCGCAACATATGACAGATATTATTATTCTTGCATAGCAGACTGGCGTTTCCGTGAGTTTTACCCATGCCGGAAATTTCATCTGGCATGGGGGGTGCCAGATGAGTCGCGTGCCAAACAACAACGTCATTTTAGCGCCATTTATGAATGAACCGCGTTAAAATGACGTCGTTTTAGAAGGGAAATATGTCTTAGGATGACGTCATTTCGCCGTTGTTATTTAAGTTGTAAGTTCATACGCTATTGTAAGAAAATAGTTATGGATGAAATGACTTTAATTTCCATGAACATATATCATATTGAGGTAAACCATTTTAAATATGAAATAATATGGCAGAATATGCAAGAAAAAATATCTTTCATATGTTTGCGGTTCGGATCGGAATATCCGTCCCTCGGGAACCCGCCCATGGGCGGTAACTCGGCAAGCCTCGTAACCGCCCAATGGGCGGGTCCCCTCGGGACGGATATTCCGGTCCGAACCGCAACATATGACAGATATTATTAATCTCAGAAATGTTTTACAATAAATGTGAAGAAAGTTAAATTCTAAATGTGATTATATTCAAAACAAAAGTATGACTGGAAAAATTTTCCTATGCTCAGATTTACCCACAAACAACATGGAGGTTTCCTCTTGAACATAATATGATATCAGTCACAAGTTATATGGCCCTATATAAACGGTTGTTTGTAAATATAAATCGAGCCGCTAGGCGATGGGTAAATTGCAAACAACCATTTTTATGTGGTCATATTATATGTCAGGAATATTTATAAAGAATTTATAATACAGAAAACTACTATTTTTGAAAAGAAAAGTCAGATTTCTGCATAAATTGACAGCAGCTGTGTATATGAAACTATATACCAAACAGTTATCCCATGAAAAAAACGACGTTTTCAAACTGAAGTGTTATATAATATTTGTTGTAATGTGTCCATGATTCTTCCAATTTTGTAAATATTCATGCCAATCTGTGGACTATCAGTCCCTAAAATTATGTTTGACCTAACATTTTCCAGAACTTATTAAGTCATTTTTGCACGTTATTTACATGTCCACGTCTTTCAGCATAATCACACCAAACAAAGCAATAAACATCATTCTGGTGCCGGTAAAAAGTTTAATTTGTGAACTGCACGACTTACTGTCACGTATAAACTTTTGGTATGTTGAAATGCACAATTCGAAATCACCATCTTCACTTTGATGCGTCTCTAATGCGGTTGAATTCCCCGTACGATTTCTTAACTCAGACATTTCCGGAAGCGTCAGCGTCATCCATGGGCAATTAAATCTGTCGGGGTAGTAGAACGCACACCTGTTATGCTTGTAAATTGCCGGCAGTGTTTGGGTAAAGGCAACGTATTCTTGAGGGTTGGAGAAATACGTCGTCATGTATGTTACATTCCAAAGTAACAGAGACAATTGGCGAGTTTGGCGCAATTTTTCAGCAAGTGAAAGTAAATATTTCAGCTCACAAGAAGACGATGTAGTAAAAACGATATGTGCGTAAAGTTTAACGTATTCTTGGCCAGAGGTATTTTCTGGCAATTTGTAAGGCATATTTATACTACAAACCGTGCAACGCTTGAAGCCAAGTTTGAAACGTAACGATACAGATAAAGCCTGTGATATTCTTTTTAGAGATGTCGTGTTCACTGCTTGCGTCGGCATAATTTCAAAGTTGAACGCATAATTCAGCTTACTTCTTAACACAAATGAAACACATTTTCCGGCGGCTGCTATCTCAAACATTGGACATTTGATCTGTCTGCATTTTTCCTGAAATAGAAGCAAATATACAAAAATATATAAAAATACCCCTCCTTGATTTTGGCCTGAAACTTTTGTAACGGCATTTGAATAAAGAAGATTAAGAAAGGCAATTCTTGACGATTTGACAAATTACGTTACTAAACTGTTAATATAGATGTTTTTTATCTCATATTTTGTTACTTATATTGTACACAGGGACTCGGCATAGTGTTGGGATAATGTAAAAAGTAATTCTAAAAAGTACTGACTTATTTTCGATCTGCGACATTCAAATATTTCAGGATGGCGGTCAATGCTTTGATGATGCTTAAGTGATAAAAGTTTCATTAATTTTACCACTTGAAATATCTAAAAATTGTGTTCATATACCAAAATTAAGGTGGCATAAAAGTGACATTTGCATTTTTTTAGTTTTGCATTTATATCTTATTTTAGTTTTTCGTACGTATTTCATTTATGTTTTTCGTACATATTTTAGTCAATCAAAACATTCTTCACATCTCAAAACAGTCTATAGTTGAGTATAAAACTAGCACAGTGATTTGGTACCATTTCGGCCCATTTTTGGAATCGGCCAAGTCGTTTTCGACCGGACAAGTCTTGTTTCGGCCGACCCTTTTCGTATGTGCCTGTTTTATGCACTTTGGGGGTCGAAATTGGACACCAAAGTGCGTTACGCAATTTGGGGTCGGACCCCAAAGTGCGTTTGACCCCAAAGTGCGATGTTACATACCACAAAGGCATGCTCTTGACATTGCATTATCTTAGGTGACTTTGACCCCTTACCTGGTGACCTGAATCACGTGCATGACATGAAGTCTCATGGTGAACATTTCCTACAAAACTCAAATCGCAAATGAATGTTTTATTTTGTTATTTGATCTTTGACTCCTAAGTGTAACATTGACCTTTGCCACAGACACCTAAATTTTTCGCACGACAATCCGCCTCACTTTGGAGGACAATTGTCCCAAGTTATATTGAAATCCCTTTATGTATATAGAAGTTATAATCGCGAATGATGTTTTATTTTGTTATTTGACATTTGACCCCTAAGTTTGACATTGGCCTTTGCCACAGACACCTCAATTCTTCACGCGACACTCTGCCTCACTTTTGAGAAAATTTGTCCCTGCATGTATAGAAGTTACGATCCGGACACGGGTTTTGCGCTGACGCCCAAGTGTGACCTTGACCTTTGAGCGGGGAACCTGGGTTTTACGTGCGACACACCACCCCATCATGAGGAACATTTCTACAAAATCAATTTGTTATCCTTCAATAAATGGGTAAAATATAGACCGGACAAATCCGGACGCACGCACATACACCTAAAAATACACCAAAAGTGACGACTAAGTCGAGCTCACCGCAAGCGGGCACAACAAAAATCGGCAACTATCCATTGTGTAGACGTGAATATTATGGTGTAAAACATTTATAAATTAATTTCAAACAAAATGATTCCCTACAAAAATTTCGTCGTAGAAATTGTCCTCATTACACCGCGTTTGCTGCTGATTTGGTGGCAATCCTGTTCGCAGAGGAGACAAGTCAAGGATCATTCTAAAACTCGGTAGGACTTTATCAGGAATGTTATAAAAACATTTCTCCCCCATCGGAGTATTGCACAAATAGCAATAAACATTCGAATACTGTTTGTTGAGAACCTTGGAAACCGATAAACCGCCTGGAAAGTGAAAAAACATGTTTGAATGAATTCTGAAATTTGTAGAAGTATGAGAGGGGCAAAACGTGATTCAAACACTGTTCTAATTGACAGAAACTAAATACAGGTAATTCAATGTTAATTATAGTAACACATTTTAATATTAAAATTACTCTGAATTTTGAAATATTTGACACCAAACTTTTATGTGTAAATGCAGAAATGCTGATGATTATTTCAAACAAAATTATGTGCGGAATAAAAATTATTTTACTTCTACAAATAAGATAATAAGGCAATAAGATCTAAGCAACATTTTTCCAAGCCTTCTATCTACAATTTACATTCTATTTAAAATTTCTATGTCGATGAAATTTTTATCATTTAAATATTATTTGAAAGTGTCCCTGTAGCTTTAAGCTTTAAGATTTCAGTCGGCGCTAGGGGCGTGGACGGTAACTCACATTTTACAGTGTCCGCCATGAGAGCATATTTATCTCGGAGCACCAGATGTGACCGATGTGCTCGTAAAAATTGGAAATGATAATGATGTATTCGACACACAATAGAAAGAAAACTCGAAGCCGGTTGTCTCACATTCGTCAATAAAATTCTACTTAAAAGAAAAACTGATTCTGCCTAGTCCATTGTAATTGACCGAAAAGGCCTAGATAGTTCGACGTCCCAAGTAAGTGTCGAAACTACAGCTGTAAGTGACA